GGCATCTTCCTGTCTCTTCAAGATGAAGAAGAGGTTAATTCAGATCTCTGGCTTCCTGTTGTCCACCCTCGGCTGGCTCTTTGTGTCCTGCACCATGGCCATGGACAGCTGGAAAGAATCTCAGCTTGGAGGCCTTGGAGGATCCTATGTCATCAAGGTGGCCTGGTACTGGTCTAACCTATGGAAAGACTGCTTTGTTGACTCTACTGCTGTGACCAACTGCAGGGACTATGGTGTACTGTGGTCTGTCACACGTAAGTATCTGTCTCTCAATTTGTTTTTTTTTATTGGTTAGTTAAAGATGAGGCAGTAAACCAGAGATTCTTTTGAGGATAAAAACCTTTGTCGATATGGGCTCATTAGCTTTGTTCAGTTTTGCAGACAGTTACTAACTCAGATTGAACCAAGCCCATGTTAGAGAGCTTTGTTCAAATCTACCAAGATACCAATGGTGTGACTCATCTCACTTGGGAAGCGTACATCCAAGGTGTCCGTGGGCTGCTGATGGGAGGATTGGCCTTTGGCTTCTGTGGTGTCATCCTGGCATTCGTGGGAATGGAGTGCACGTACATTGGCGGCAGCCAGCGGACCAACAACAAAGTATTGTTTGCAGCTGCTGTTTTCCACTTCTTAGGCGGTGAGTATGAACCCCCCTCAGCTCTTATCATAATTCAGCCGCAACCTGCTCTCACACCAATGTCTTAGTGTCCCTAAAATGTCCTCGATGCAGGTGCATTGGATACTGCCGGATACTGTTTGTATATCAACAGAATAGCAATCACAGCCTACAACCCAAAATTAGACCCAACTGCTCTTAGGTAAGCCCTGTATGGCTCGAATGTTTCCACTGTTGAATGAATCATACTGCTTTGATGTTTTATGTCCAAATCTATCGTTAAATATGGGTTCCTTACATTATAATTCTGGTTCCAGAGGTGTGAGGCAACAGTGCTAACCACTGTGCCACATGCCATCCCACAACAGGAACATTTAAGAGTTAACAAAAACATCGTCATTATGAATGGAAGTTACAATCCCTTCTTATATTATACTCTCAGTGGCCAGTTTATGATGTATACATTTGCTAATGCAAGCAGCATCCTCCACCAAACTGTAAATTATGGGGCTACAACTGAATACATAATCAAACAGACAAGGTCAGGAGGTTTACTTGCTGTCTGACTAAGTATTAGAACAGCTAAAACATTTATATAAGCTATTCTGAATGTGGTGTGAATGCTGGTGCCAGATGTGGTGGTTCTGCCATCTCGGAAATGGCCTACTTCCCATTACTTCCCATTCCCCCAGTACTAGATAGGTGTCTCCTGGGATTTTTCCGTACTACTGTGTCTAAAGTTTACAGAGTATGATGAACAAAAAATTTTCAGTCATTCAGTCAGTCAGTATTTCTGTGGCCTAAAACACAAAAATTAGAGGGGAATATAACAAGAAGGTCAGAAGTGCAAATATAATGCAGTACAATAGTGTTGTGAAAGGCTTGAAGCAGGTGTAGAATCAAATGTGAGTCCTACCCAGTACTAGCTTGGTGTATCCAATCAATTGGGCCCTACCCAGTACTAGATAGGTGACTCCAACAAAGCGAGCCCTAGTTGGTACTATCCTGGTGCATCTAATAAAGTGACCAGTGAATGTATTTTTGATTCATTTTGATCTTTTTTCTTTTTCTGTACAGGTATAGTTTAGGAACTCCTATCTTTTTGGGCTTGGTGGGGAGCTTCCTTATCATTGGGGGATCCATCCTGTATGCCATCGCTGTCATGAAATCTCTGTTCCCTGAAAAAAGGTAAAAGAAAAGAACGTGTTTCTATTTCACAGTTTGACATCACGTTGACCATCCTGTGAATTTTAGGAGTCAGTAAATGATTCACCTCTGTCCTCAGCAAGTTTTATAATTCCAGACCATACACCAACCAACAGTCCAGGAGCAGAACCCTCTATGCTGGATACTATGGACAGTCCAGACAGTCACAGTCTAGACTATCCAGGCACTCCATGAAGTCTGGAGTCTCCAAAAGCTCGCAGGTGTCTACCATCTCCCAGATTGAGGACAGGAAGATATCGGAGAGAGATGCCTTTGTGTAACTGGTGTCCTTTCAGACATTAATCTCCTCTGTTTGACCTAATAATATAACAGGTACTGTTCTAAATTGAATTTTGGACTGCTTAAATAAAGTAAAAGATTGAGTTTTTGGGATTGTCTCTGTACCAAGTACCATATTGTAGATTTTATTTTTTACAAAGTAATTTAATGACTCAAACATTCAATTCTTAAGTGTCATTAATTGAGCTGATACATGTTATTTATTGTACCAATTGTACTTGAACTTGATGTTCTATTTATAATGTGGAAACATTACACACTTTACATTAAACAGATGGCTTTGAGTCTGTGACTTATTTCTTCTCTTTGATGGGCAAATATAAAAGAAAGCTTTAGTGTCCTTTAACATTTTTTCATATTCTATCTTTAAAGTGCATTTACATAGGTGATGCAAATCAAAGTTTGTACTTTATGCAGTTCTTGAGCTATAAAAGTTTACAGTTATAGATAGTGGGCCTTTATGGACCTGTTTGGTACCAACAGACAAAGTATGGGTTTTATGATTTTGGCTCTGAATAGGGTCTTTAGGTTATTACACCGTGAACTCACTGTAATTGAAGTATAAGGCAAGAAATAGGGTCGTCTGAGGCAAGATCTTCCCAGCGGCCTATTGCATTTCATAAGTCTGATATTACATTTGGCAGAAATGCAGAAAAAGTGCACGACGATCATTATTGACACAGATACGCGCTTGATATTAAGTTATTTAACTTTATTTCATTTATATACATTCTATTGCAGAGTTCAACTGGTCTTTTCACATAATCAAAACTGTTCAAAGAAACACCATATGAAAAAGATCTATATAGTGAACACAATGTAACTGAAGCAAGTTTCCCCTGTAAATTGTACATCTTTGAGTTCAGTGGAGTGAAATGGAACCTTCAAGCTGTAATCCATGACTTCCTGGTTACCAGGGATATGAAAATGACACAGAGCCCAAATTCCCTTAGTTATCCAGAGCTTGAAGGTTCCTATTCACTCCACTTAACTCAAAGATAAAGATACAATATACAGGGGAAACATGCTTCAGTTAAATTTTGTTCACTATTATTTCCAGGGGTGCCAATAATTGTGGCACATATGTTTTTGTTAAAAATAATTATTTCTTCATGGATTGTTTTTTTTCTTGGAATAAATTTATGTTAATGAAAGGTTGGATTTTTCTCAATTTTTCAGTGTGACATGAAGCTGCTTTACCAAAAGGTGGTTTTTTTTTCTAACCCTTTTTACAAATCTTTACAAGGGGTTCCAATAATTATGGAGGGTGCTGTATTATGTAAAGAATAAAAAACCATATAATTAAAAATAAATAATTTAATTATAAGAATAAAGCATGTACTGTAATTGAAAGGACATTGGATTGCTGAAAATGCATTTCAGATATTTAAATAAGTCAGGTTGAACATTACAATACAGCCCTCAAAGGGTCACAGCATTCTTTGCGGCATGTTATATGTTACATAACATTACCGTGCGTGATCATTGTCTGTTGGACATCAATGAGGATACATTAGAGGACTTTAGAAGGCGCAGTGCAGAAATGCATATGCCATTGCCAACAAAGGACTGCACGCTGGCAGCAGCATGGGCAAGGAGGGATCACCTGCCAGAAGAGTCTAATAGTCTGTAGCCTGGAAAGAAATTTAAATTGTGAGAGTAGAAAAATAACAGCCTTATTGCCTTTTATTTGAACATACATTTTATAACACTTTAAAAACTGTATGTTGTATTTTATCTGAACAAAGATCGCACTTTTATCAATATTTTGTGAACTGCAGATCCAAAATTAAAATAAAACATTCTAGCATAATTAAGTCCCTGTTCCCAGCCACTTCTCTCATTCAGCAGCGAGCTTCCCCATCTTCTGACATCATGATACTACTTTCAGCACTGTATGAGTGATTTAAAAATGCCAGAAAATGAGGACATGCTCACTGTAACCTTATCCCTTGCCTGCTTCACCTCAAAAGACTTTGGTTGAACAGTGGTATTTCTGTTCAATGATATGCTCATGCATTTTCACTTCACGCATGAGCACGTCCATTTCCTCAAGCGAAAAGCAATCTGGCTTGCCGGGCAAATGCGCCATTGTAATAGCAATCTGCAGCAGATCATGCGCTGCTGGTGATGGTGAGATGAGGTGATGCACCATTCCGATTGGTTTATTGCTTGTTATACCCAAAACACACCTCTGAATAATTAAGAGAGTTACGACAACCTTTTTTTGCCTTGCACTGGTGCAAAGTCTGGTTTTTCTACCATCAAAATAGTGAAATGGATTTAGACACGCCCATAACTGTTAGTTCCACTTTGCGCTTTACACTTTGCATTAGGTCATCAAAATAGAGGCCATAATGTAAATATATGATATAAAGATTTAGAGAATATCTTCTATTTATGCATTTGTACAGGGAATTGATACCAAAAGACCACCTTTGAGATCTGCAGCAGATTATTATTATTATTATTATTATTATTATTATTATTATCTGTACAAACAAAATAATGTGAGGGTTTATTCCATTTGTTTTCAAAGGACAATGTCAGTTCCCCAAAATGAATTGTCACAAAGATTTTAATATTGTTGCTGGTTTAATAGTTTGTTATACATTTAAACTTTGTTATACATTTGGAATAACCTGCTGAAGCAAGGACCAATGTTACTTGAGTCAAAAATATTATCCTCGTAATCCTTATCCCCATTAATCATTAATGATCCCACAGGATCTTCAGTGTTATGTAGTAAAGCTGACGAATGAATGTTTCGAGGATGGAACACAAATAAATACCATTACTTGCTTGTCACATGACCTTCACAGGGACAGGGTTCTTGGAAAACAAACTGTTGATTGGCCAAAAGATAAAGGGGAATAGGGTTGCGAGGGAGACAAACTTGGCAACCCACTACATGGAGGAGAACCGTAAGGGCTCAGACCACAACAGCTATCATCCACCTTGGCTGCTCAGAGCATCTCGGACAGCAGACCCCACATCTGATTCTTCCAGTTTCCTGAATTATCAGGTCTTTTAGGTTGTCACTGACAAGGGGCTCCTCTTAGACTGGATCTGAGTGCCAGCCATGAAGTACAGGGTGGTCATGATGTACACGGAGATCGGCTGTTTCGTGGTGTGCATCTCTGGCTGGATTCTGGTTTGTTCCACCATGCCCACAGAATACTGGAACTTCTCCACAGTGGAGGGCATCGTGCTGACCACTGCCAACTACTTTTCCAACCTTTGGAAAGACTGCATCTCTGATTCCACGGGGATGTCGGACTGCAAGGAGTTCCCATCACTGCTGGGGCTAGAAAGTAAGTCTGATTGCTTCCCGTCTCACAGACATGAAGGAACAGCTTTAAAACATATTTAATTCCTTTCCTTAAATTTTCATATCTTAGATATCCAAATAACACTGGACATTCGCCTTTTAGGCAGCAGGTGTATAGTATACCCAGACTGCCTTTTCCATAACACAGTCAGTTAGAGCTGGTAAATATTTGCATTCTAAATATCCAGAGATTTTGAAAACACCAGGAGATGGGAGAGCCAGTGCAACACACATACAGCTCAATAAAGGTGATAAGGTAGAGCTTTGGGTTTTTTTTGATACATTGTCAGTTAAGACCAATATCTGTGGTTACTTTTGTCTTCTTATATGTTCCACTGGCCACATTTTCATTCTGTCAAGAACAGTTCTGGACTAACAAACTTTTATTGTCATTGTACAAGTACACTGTAAAAAAGAAGTTAAGACGACCTAAAATTTCAAGGCAACTTACTGCACTAGATTCTTGAGTTTTGAGTACTCGAACTTTAAAGTTTTGAAGAAAACCACCTATTGTTTGATTAGATTAGATAATCCTTTATTAGTCCCACAAGTGGGAAATTTGCATCCTCATGGCAGAAAGTGAACAGTACAAGAGCAGAAAATTTTTTAAAAACAATTGAATAAAAACTGTAACAACAGTACAGTATAAAATGTACACTAAACAATATGGATGAGTGATTAAAAAATATAAATGTATATATATGTATATGTAAACTTAGATAAATATATGTATGTATGTATAAATAGAGTGTATGCATATTATGTACAGAGTGGATATATAAATATATGTACAACACTGAAGAAATATATATATGGACAGGAATGCAATGGAGTGACAGGCATTGACAAGAACTAATATTGCACCTAAGAAATATTGCACATAGAAACTACCATGGTGTATTGAATGTGTGTGTTTGTTAGTCAAAGTGCGTGTGGTCAGCTGCAAGGACTTTGTTGTAGAGTCTGACAGCGGTTGGAAGGAAAGACCTTCTGAATCTTGCCTTCCCACATCATGGATGTAGGAGCCTGCCACTAAATGAGCTGCTGTCAGAGTCTCCTGCATGGGGTGGTAGATGTTATCCAATTGGGATGACAGTTTAGCCACCATTCTCCTGTCACTCTCAACCTCCACCAGGTCCAGAGGGCATCCTAGAACAGAGCTGGCCCTCTGGATCAGCCTGTTCAGTCTCTTTCCATCCCCAGCAGAGATGCTGCTGCCCCAGTAGTGATCTCCTGTCTTTTCTCCCCTCGCCACAGCATGCTAACTGCTAACAGCTCGATGTCTCTACTGCATATTTGATCTTTCACAGCGATGTGCCCAGGGTTACACCATCTGTCGTTCACAAACACTGCCAGCCACCTCCTTTCCTCTTACCGCTCTCCTTTGTCCGGGCAGCACCACGTTCATGTCCGTAGTTAGCGGTGTTAGCCAGGTCTCTGTTAGCAACATGATGCTACACTAGGGTGACCAGTCGTCCTCCAAAAAGAGGACATGTCCTCTTTTTTAACATGGTTTTCTCCGTCCTCCAGGCATTCCAAAAATTCGTTAAAATGTCCTCCTTTCACAGAATCACGAAAAGAGTTGACCGTTTTTGCCTAATTACATATGATATATACCGAGAATGAGCAGCCTTCAGCCATCCTCCATTCATCCGCGTCACATTACGTTATGTTATCAATAATTGTAACATCAAGTAGCAGCAACACTGTTTTATATTCTATTTCTGCCCGACAGCACAATGGACAGTGGTTAGTCTAAAAATGATTGTCTAAAAAAAGTGGTAACTAAGAAGTTTTTGTAAAAATTAAATGTCAACAAAAACAGAAAAGTCTAAAACCGAAAACGCAAGTTTTCTGATCGTCACAAGTCGAAATATCTGTTTTTTGAAGTAGGACGAAATGAAACCAAAGCGAAATGCAGGGTGTGCGATTCCTACATGTCCGTCGCTAATAAAGGAACGCTTGATTTACAATGACATATTGAAAGCGAGAGACATTGAAAGACTGTACGAACGTACGATTCAAATGCCAAAATGACAACGTTTTTTGAGCCGAAACATTCAAACTGCTGACAAAAAGGCGCGTGCAGCTGAAGCTACATTAGTGTTTTATACTGTTGCTCATCATCAGTCTTATAGGTCTATAGACTGTACTGCTGGCTTAATGTACACATTGTTTGCTAGGGTGACCAGATAATCTATGTCAGGGAGGACACTCTGAGCTAGGACAGGAATTGTAAATTAC